GGTATTTTTTCTTTTTTTTGCAGTTTGGCTGGGGCCGGGTTGGAACCTACCACCCTCGGAATATGGGGCCGGCACCTTACTCACTGAGCCACAGGCGCCGCCCCTATTTTATCATTTTTAATAATTCTTTGATATGTTTACAGGTCAATACTTATTCCACAAAGATCCAATTTTGTAAATTCTGGTTATTTTTAATTTTCCCCTTTGATAAAAAATTGTAATGCAGATCCTTATACGTACATCTTTGGGCATTTGTCTTTTTTTTTTTTTTTTGAGACGAGATCATTCTTTGTCACTCAGGCTGGAATCCTAGTAGTCACTCAGTAGTGGGATCATAGTGCACTGTAACCTCAATCTCCTGGATTCACGAAACCTTCCTATCTTAGCCTCCAGAGTAGCTGGGACTTAACAGGTACATGAGAGTGTGCTTGGCTAATTTAAAAAATTTTTTTAGAGATGAGGTTGTCCAGGCTGGCCTCAAATTCCTGATCTCAAGTGATCTTCCCACCTTGATCTCCCAAAGTGCTGGGATTATAGGTGCAAGCCATGTGCCAGGCCTGATTTTATTTATTTATTTATTTATTTTGGTGGAGGGGCGACAGAGTCTCACTTTGTCACCCCGGGTAGGGTGCTCTGGCATCATAGCTCACAGTAACCTCCAACTCTTGGGCTCAAGTGATTCTCTTGCCTCAGGCTCCCAAGTAGCTGGGACTACACCCCTGCCACAATGCCTGGCTATTTTTAGAGATGGGGTCTCACTTTTGCTCAGGCTGGTCTAGAACTCCTGAGCTCAGGCAATCTACTCACTTTGGCCTCACAGAGTACAGTGTGCCACCGTGCTGGGCCTCAGGTCTGATTATGTTGTTAAGATCATTTCCTAGAAATTGATTTGCTGCATCGAAGGAAATGAAGTTTTATTTTTACCTGTTTTCATTTTATTTATTGATTGCCATCCAAAAATCAATTAATGGTTTACATTCTTTATCATCATAGTATAGAGCCCAGAGCAGGAAATACCTAGTCAATGCATCAGGAAATTGAGTTAAGCCCTCAAGAGAATGGATAAATTAAACACAGGGAGCCAGTGAGAGAGTGCTCAGGGCCAGATTCCCTCACTGTGCTTCTTTCTATCTATACTCTCCAACACTAGGTGTCACTGATATATTTAATCTTAGCCAACCAATATATAAACAATTACATGTTCATACAAACGATAAAACACAAAAATAGTCTAGCAAGAGGGATAAGGAGGGAAAGGGGAGGGGAGGGGAGGGGAGGGGAGGGGAGGGGGAGGGCGATTGGAGGGAGGAGGAGGGCATTTAGCAGGATCTCACCCAGGGTGCACATGGAAGGGTATTGGGCACACCCCCTTGGGGAAGGGCTCTTCTACAACTTGAACTTTACCTTGGAAGTGATAACTTTGTAACCTAAAAATTTCTACCCTCATATTAATTTGAAATAAAAAATAATAATCTTGACCAAATAGAATTGCTGAGGGTTTTTCTGACAAAGTAAACTGGAGGATTTTTTTTTTTTTTTTTTACTCTTCTTATTTACTTATGAGGATGGTTTCATAATCCACTTCCTGGTCTGAGGAAACAGAAACTATGGCTGCTGAGAGCGTTCCCTCACAGATCATAGAAAGAGAACAAAAAACGTTGCTTGAAATCCTCCAACAGGATCCTGATTCCGTATTAGACACTTTAACCTCTTGGCGGCTGATTTCTGAAGAAGAATTTGAGACTGTGGAGCAGGTTACAGACCCCCTGAAGAAAAGTCAGAAGCTGTTAAGTTTGATACAGAGAAAAGGAGAGGCGACCTGTCAGCACTTTTTCAAGTGTTTATTTAGTACTTTTCCAGAGTCAACTTCCATTTGGGGCTTAAGGCATGGTAAGTTAATATTTTACACTTTGGGGGTGTGAGAGAGGGGGCAGATTTCCTGGGAAAAAAAATAAGTTACCACCTTTAATTTCTGTCTGTCTTTTTCCCGGAAATACTTTTTACTGAAATATGAAACGGGGGAGGGGGAAAGTTTCCAGAATTTAAAAATCAGAGAATGATGCATTTTATTGGTTTAGGTAGGAGATTGATAATTTGTTGTTTGGAATGTGAGGGGCTGGGCGCTGTGGCTCAAGCCTGTAATCCCAGCACTCGGGGAGGCTGAGGCTGGTGAATCCCTTGAGCTCAGGAGTTCAGACCAGACCGAACAAGAGTAAGACTCTGTCTCCAAAAAATAACCCGGTGTTGGGGCAGGCACCTGGGGTCCCAGCTACTTGGGTGGACGAGGCAAGAGGCTCGCTTGAGCCCAAGAGTTCGAGGTTGCTGTGAGCTAGGAGGCTATGGCATTTTCTCCAGGGTGACAAAATGAGACTCTGTGTCAAAGAAAAAATAACAAAAACCGAAACAAAAAACAGTATGTGAAACTTGAGGTTTTAGTGCTGGCATAAAGGCTGCTCCTTATTCTGGCAATGACATCCTCAAACCTCACAGCTGGAAAGAGAATGCTGTTAATAGTGACAGAATCTTATCTTTTTTTTTTTT